TTCAAACTAATCAATAGTACTTGGGTATTTAAGCACCTTTGTGATTATTAGCATTTAATTCCTTATAGACAAGAAACTCTCATCCTATCCAGAGCAGTGATAGAACTATTTTGGGGTCACATAGGGAGAGGGCTAAAATAGTGTTAATACTAAAATGTCAATGTAAAGTAAAATAACGAAACCTGCGATTTTTTCAGTTTTTATTGGCTAGCCTATCAGTGACTCTTCAGAGATTTTTTCTAGCTGTTAAACACACAGCCTTTTAAGAAATTGGGTACAAAAAGGAAAACCTTCTCCTTATTCTTTTTCTAGCACCTGTAACTTTCTCTTCCTTCCTTTCCTGTGTGACTTATTAAGAATCTAGGAGCAGGTTAAAAAAGTGGACTTGTTTACTGAGAGCTTAACACAAACACAACATTTGAAGAAATAAATGTTTTTGCTTTGATTTAAATAGAGATTTTAGTGTAACAGTTGCAAAGGAAAGTCTCAACTCAGTTGTAAAGATTTTCTTAATCTTTTCTGATTTATAATATTTAAGTAATTAGGAACCTGTTGATATTATTAAATATTACGAAATATATCTGTGTTGCCCCAAAAGTATTTTTTTTAATAGTCAAATTATTAGGGTTTGACAAAGTAAAATATTTGCATGTGCAGTTATATTTGTAATGGGAGAAAAAAATACGTTGGAAGAATATTTCAAAGGGACATTATTTTCAGGGGAGGTTCAGGTTGGACATCAGGAGGAATTTCTTCACAGAAAGGATGATTAGACATTGGAGTGTGCTGCCCAGGGACGTGGTGGAATCACCGTCCCCGGAGGTGTTTAAGGAAAGACTGGATGTGGCGCTCAGTGCCATGGTCTGGTTGACAGGGTGGTGTTTGGTGAAAAGGTTGGACTTGGATGATCTCAGAGGTCTTTTCCAACCTAAATGATTCTGTGATTTTTATCATCATTGTATTGCAGTAATGTTTTGATAAACCAGTAATATTTTTCCCATTGCTTTCTTCTCAGTGACTACAGTGTCTTTTTCTTCATTATGATGAACACATGATGTCTGACACTAAAAAGAAAAAATTATGAAATAAATGACAGTGTTAAACTCCTAGTTAAGAATGCACTATGATTATTGGTGAGGAAAAAGGTATAGCAGAAAATACAGTGCTCCTGTTGAGTTATTACTCTTTATAAACATGAAAAGGAAAAACTAAGCTTTGATTTGCTTCATAAACAGCTAAATGAGACAGTAGTTTGTTGTTATTACAGATTCCTTTAAATCTTAATTTCAACAGTATTTCTTTTCAGGAAACAGTTGAAGTATTTTTGAAACATCCTTCTGTAAAAGATGACTCAGATCTTGAGGGAAGAACATCCTTCATGTGGGCAGCTGGCAAAGGCAGTGATGATGTTATTAGGACTATGCTGACTTTAAAATTGGATATTGATATCAATATGACAGACAAATATGCTGGCACAGGTAAGATGCTTTACAGCAAAGAGCCACTGGACATTTCTGGTCAGTGTGATTTCCATCAGAAAAAACATTTTTAGAAGCTATATTAGTCTTTTCCTGGATGTGTGCTTTAATCCTGAAAATATTTCTGCATTAGTTTAATTATGTATGAGTGTCAATTCTTTGCCTTATTGTGGGAAAGAAACAAACCTTTTCTTCATGGATTGTATCAGTTAATTTGAAAAATAACAAGAAGTACTGCTATCCTGCTACCTAGATCTGGATCCTGGGAAAGGGAGAGCTGTTCTGTATTTTGAAGAATAAAATGAAATATAATTGCATAAAAAGCCCTCCCTGAAAATGCCTATTTAAATGTATTTGTCAGTAAATACATACTTTGAAACAATATAGAGCAAGCTAACCAGTGAAGTGGCTAAATTATCATCATGAAAATCATAAGTACCATAGTTGTTTGTAAAGGTAGTGTAATAAAGATTAGAGCTATTGCACTTCTGTTGTCCAAAAAGTGAGTCAAACTTGATATCCCCCAAGTTTATCACCCCATTATCTGCCCAGAGCAAAAGATAGGTATGCAGCACAGTGATTCAGGATTCAAGCATGCAAGTCATGAAATTCAAAATTTCCTGTATAATATACGAATTTATCTCATTCATGAAAAAATATAAGAATTTGTGGTATAAATATTGTACTTATGTAGTATTTTCAACAAAAACAGGATAACAATTCTGACAGGTGTCAAAGTGTTTCTGCATTATATATAGAAAAAGAGGAGACTGTGGATATATTGGGCATGAATTGGAGGGGTTTGATAGCAGGAAGCTTCAAACAGTAAGATGTGTAGGAGGAGGTCAGGAACTACCCAGTGCCACACAGAGCCAGGTCACAATGTTAGAAGCTAAGTGCAAAACTGTATACCTGTGTATAATAAGTAGTAAAATGACAGCCAAGCTCATAGTCAGACCACACATCCATGAATAATACAATAAATACAATAAATACAATAATACAATAAAGGGCATTTCTCCTATGTAATTTTAAACAGATAAGAATGTATAATTGCAATGTTTGTTTATATGAATTTTCATGTATTTGTTGACTGCATACATATGCAAACTAGCCTAAGCTGCATGGTTAGATTTAGGAAACTTACAGTGTCTCAACCAAGAAAAAAAGATATGAGTTTAACAGCTTTTCTCTTTTCAGAGTGCACTTCGAATAACATACAAATGGTAAAATAAATGTCACGTCAGGGTTGTGTGGTTCAGGATTTTTAAACGTAGATTGTACGAATATTATTTTCATATTAAAATTTGAATTTCTTTCATTTTCTTTGGTGATATGCTGGGTCTCAACAAAAAACAGAATACACTTAACATAAAATTCTATTCAAATATCTAAATTCTTGCTTTTCTTGCAATTTAGCAAACTGAAAAATAATCAGTCTTTCCAAGTTGTGGTAGTTTGTAATTTTTGAGTTTAAGAAATACTGCAACAAATGAAATATCAGTCTTCATGTTTAATGACTTTAAAAACTATATAATCTATGATTGTACTCATTTCATCTTTTATCAGTCTTACCTACATTTGCTACTTCCTGACAGTTCCCTTTTAAATACTTTACAGTACTTGTTTCAGACCTTAAGGTGGAGTAATGTAGTTACTGTGCAAACCTCCTTACAGAAGGTTTTCTTCTTTGCAGACAGTACTCACATATCGTGTTTCTGAAATTACTCAGGTCTGGATTTCATGCTTGAATAGTTCAGGTGGTTGGGCTTATTATCTTTCGGTCTTAAACCTTTTGTAGCACTGATATGTAATCACTTCTTAATCTTGATTTTGTTGTAGGGCTTTTAATCCAAGGAACTGAATGGGTTTTCCATTTACTTTAAAGTGCCATTGTGGAGAACACACGAATAGTCTTGAAGTGGGGAACTGTACTGTTTGTCGCTTGCTGTCGAGCAGCCTGAACTAAACCATTGTGCAAGCAAGTGCAGTAGCATGGGCTTTATTATAGGGAGCTGCAAACATTAAAGGAAGCGCGCCAGTAAATCACTCTCTGATTTTTTTTTACAAAGGTTCTTAATCATTCCCAGTTTTTGGTAAGGGAAAAGTAGCGTTGCATTCTGATGGGAAACTATGCACTAGTAGAAAATAGTGTACATGCCACCGTGCCTGGGATACAGTTGCTGAGGAGAGTTCAAGGTTGTGTGTTTCTGACTTTTGTGTGCGACTCAGTTAAGCTCAGTTATAATGTTGCGTTAACGCAGCCTTTTTGCATTTACTTAAAAAAGAGCAAGCTCTCCATTCAGCTTTGCTAGAACATCGAGACTCTCAGTATTGTGTAGGAGAATGACACCAAGGGAAAGGAATTTCCCTCTTCTCAGAGATCAGCGCTGCAGGAGCATTACAGGGGCAGCTTTATAGCTCTGCCGTCACTGCGCACAATGGAGAGGGCTCTGTCTGTCGGCTGAACAAAGGGCCTATTGTAACCAGCTGGCTGAAGAATCTCTTCAGTCACCGTGACTCCATCACAGAAAATTTGGCTTACAAGAAAATATTGAGCACAAAGTGCGAAACGAGATGCCTGCGTCAGAATGAGTGATAGGGGGGAAGAACCAGCCAAGCTGACACAGCAGCTCTTTTTCTATTGTATTGTTACACACACCCCATGTGTCATCTGATGGAGTGGTTTACTGCCTTTGGTTTCATAAGAAATTCAGGACGAAAACCAGAACCTAGAGTTTACTTTGAGGTCAGACCATGAAAACCAGGCCCTTCCCAATGTACGAAGCGGCAGGGATCTCATTCTTGTTGAATTTCTACTGATAGCCACCCACTCACATGGCTGCTGGAGATGCGCTTATTTTTCATGAGCTCGGTGAGCACTGCTGTGCTTTTTAGCTGCAACAGTTAAACATCAGTGTCATTCAAAAGCATGATTTCAATTACTAAGGCAGCACTTCTCATGGTGTCTCTGGCTGTGACTCCAGTGCCTCATTCATCTGTATCACAGTTCCAGTTGCTATCACTGATATTGAGACTCTGTTTTATGACAACACACTTCAGCTGGATTAGGTTCATGGACAATATGAACAACCTGAGCATTTTATTAGTACCTGTGTAACAGGTTGTGCTGGGTTACTGTTTCATAAGGTGTGCGGAGTTGGTACCACTGCTACACAGTAGCTGGCAGATACAAAAAGCCAGACTGCTTTGATATTCGGGCTGCAGTTCAAGAAGCAGTAGCTCACATTGGGCTTCATGATGTGTATTTCTGTATAATGCCTCTGCTGGATCCTGACCCTGTCTGGTTTAATATTAAACAAATACATGTAGGTACATAAAACAAGACATGTAGATACTGTTTACAGCTCCACATTTTTCTGGCTTGAGCACACTCAATTCTCACTAAGGATGAAAACCTCTGAAATTTCACAGGGAACTCACTGTATTAAATGCACATTTATGAACTGCACTCTTGTGTTTTTATTCTAAATTATTTTGGTTTTCTTCATCTGTAAAATATTCCACATGTAAGGCAGTGTGAGAATGTAGGTTGTCTGATTTGATTGCTGACTGTAGGAAATAATCCAAAGCATTTTGAATTCAAATTGTAAATAAAATCACCAGTATATGTGCCCTCCATTGGTTTGAAATCTCACTGCTCTGTGTAGTTCTCCTTTCCTTCAATAAGAATTGTGAACTGGTCAGACTGGTATTCCAACATTTTCCTCAACTCCAGCTGACAGTGCCTGCAGGATGGCAATAGCAACTCCAGTTACAAGACACCACATCTAGAACTCTGAGTTCTGAAGTATCTGAAGTAGTGTAGTTTTCATTCAACTGAACATCATAAATTGTAGAGATGAGACAAAATGCAATACCTGGTTTGTAATCTTGTTTTTTTCCTGGAGAAACCAGGAAGATGGAGATACTGTGCGTGCAAGATATGATGACCTTAGTACAAAATTTTGTGTAAAATTTTTTCCAGAAAGGCTGGGGGAGGAGCAGGAACAGCTGGGTGGTAATCTGTAGTTAGTTTTGGTTGAGACAACTTTATTTGAAAGGAAAAAAAGGTATTTTCAGAAAAGCATTGAAGAAATAATTAAAGGTTTCTTTCACTGGTGATGGGCAGTCTCAGAAATGCCACAAAACAGAGGCAGAAGTAAATAATGTAATATTCTCTTAATCAGAAGCTACTAATTTTCCACAAATCCTCAGTATAAGCCGATCTTGGTAGTGTTAAGCTTAAAATTTCCATTTGTGCAACTTAGAAACATGTTTCAGGGCTAACAGTTATCCTGCTTATGGCTTCTGTGGCAAGAAAATGTTGTTATATAATCACTTGCTAGGACTCTTCAGTTTCTTGTGGTTGAAAAGTACCTTTTCCACCAAAATGGTTGAAATGAATTTTTATTTTGACTGTTCTAATTGTGAAATTCCGAAGCTCATGGTATTGTGGTTTGTTTTTCCTACTCCTTAATTCTTCTAGCGTTACACGCCGCTGCCCTTTCTGGCCATGTCAGCACAGTGAAATTGCTGTTGGAGCACAAGGCCCAGGTAGATGCTCTGGATGTCATGAAGCACACCCCGCTTTTCCGAGCCTGTGAGATGGGACACAAAGAAGTGATACAAACACTCATTAAAGGTCAGCTCTTATGACCTTACAAACTTGTCTGGAGTTCTGGTGCTGCTTTCTGTGGGACTGGGAAATAAATAGATAGCTGAGCAAGAGGTGGGGGGAGGAAATTGCTTCCCTAAAGCGGGTTTTGTCTATAAGTACTCTTTGTGGGATAACACTAGTAAATGTAAAAGATTATCAGATTGTTGTGCAAAATAAGTGTTAAATATAAAACTTTCAAGACTGGGAGAGTTCTTTTCACAGCTCATTTCTGCTCAGGCCCTTGCAAGTACATTCTAGTCTCTCAAAGCAACACTTCCCCCCAGCAGATCATTGTTTTTCTTTCTTTTTTTTTTTCTTCATCAGAAAGACCAAATTAAACTTTCTTCACTTTTGTGAGAAAGCATTTCTAGCCTTCTTTGAAGATTTTTTGACCATTTAAATGAATCTTTATTTTTTAATGCAGATAGCTATCAAAATCCTACATCATTAATATTTTCCTCTGATTGGTTTTTAGAAGCAGTGTTTTATTTGTAGACAGAAACAGGTTTTAACAATGTACAGTGTTAGATAATTGTAAAATATCTGCTGAAGTGTAAGAAGTATGGTGAAACAACAGTGGTATCCTAGATGTGAAATTCTGTCATTTTAGCTTCCCAGAAACATCTCCCTCCTACTTCAGACATGATCCCATTTATGGACAGATGAAGTATCCAGGCTAAAAAGTTGCAAGTTTTCCATCAACCATCCTTTCTTACTGAAAAATCTGCTTCCCTTCATGATCTGCTAAGCATATTTTAACCTCCTGTGAAGCTCTTCCTCCCATTCCCTGTGCCATTGAGCTTTTGTGTGTGCAAGAACCTTGTAAACATAACCAAGTTATGTTTAGTTATATATTTTATGATATAGACAGTCATTGTTGCTGGTTGGTTCAAGCTTTTGTATTTGTGGAGTTTTATTTTTGTACAGAATTTTTACATCTTGCAAGAAGACAGAGAAATTTATTATCTGCATTAAAGAGCTTTAGCATGCTTGAATTAAGAAAAAAATTAAGACTTTTCCAAAAATTATTCTTACACTGTAAATATTTCATCTTGCCTGCATTAGAGATTTAAAAACAGATTTAACCTGAGAAATATTTGTCTAAATTACCATTTTACCAAATAAGTTCTAGTTGAACATAAACTTATTCTTTTCTTTTCTTTTCTTAGCATTCAAAAGTGTTTTCTTTTTATGCTCAAAAATATATTTGCTGTTTCAGGAGGGGCAAGAGTAGATTTGGTTGACCAAGATGGCCATTCACCTCTTCACTGGGCAGCCCTGGGAGGAAATGCTGACGTGTGCCAAATCTTGATAGAAAATAAAATCAACCCTAATGTGCAGGATTATGCAGGTAGAACACCTCTGCAGTGTGCTGCTTATGGAGGTTACATTAACTGCATGGTAGTGTTACTGGAAAACAATGCAGATCCAAATATCCAGGATAAAGAGGTATGTTGTTCTTCACTGAGGTATATAATTAACTTTAGAATAACCATACATCAAAACATATTGCTTTTCTTCAAGATCCTTCTCTTTTCTGGGACGTAGAAGCATCTTTGCTGCCTCCACTTCAAAAATCTTGTATGAAAAGTAGTATTTTAATGTGCAGCATGAACTGAAGATTTGTATTTTTCCATATCACTTTTGATTTTTCCTTATCAAAGTGTGATTATATGAGGAGTCATATTAATAATCTGATTTCTTAACTTTTGTGATTCCTTATTAACAGCTGACATAGGAATGTGATTTTATAGTCCAAAATGAGTTTCTTTAACATAGAGACAGAGCAAGCAAGAAAGTAAGGTATTGCAAGTGAGATTGCACAAGAACTGTTTCAATTACTAATCCACATAAGTATCCATATATGTATACTGTATCCAGGTGAAAAAAAAATGGAACACTGACTAGGTTATATGTTCTTTTGTGCCATTATTCAAGCAGTTCGTGAAATTAGGAGCCAGAGTAATTGTGCAACCTGTAACAGATCTCTTTCTTATATGACATAATTTCTCAGAAGTCGGTAGAACCTCATCAGTCAAAAGAGCTTCACCCAATTTGTTAAATTTTTCTGTAGTTATTCTTTGTAGGGCATAGATAATTCCAAGTAACAGAAAAGTGGTTTTCATTATGAGTTCTTTCTTTTGCAAAGAAAGCAACTCTAGAGCTAGTCTCCTAATGCTAATTTTCAGCTGCTTTAGGTGAAAAAACACTAGTGTTGTAATCTTGTTTAAAAAAAATAATAATTTTTAAGTGCTGTATTCTTCTTATTTTAATAAAGAAGTTTATTTAGAACTAGTTTGTCCTTCATGTCCAGAAAAGCATTGAATTACACTGTGATTTACGACTTTCATTGTGGCGTGATAGAGTTTGGGGATAATGCTTATTTTTGTTCTGTTTCTATTGTTTACAGGGAAGAACTGCCTTGCACTGGCTCTGTAACAATGGCTACCTTGATGCTATAAAGTTGCTGCTCGGTTTTGATGCCTTTCCTAACCATATGGAGAACAGCGAGGAGAGGTATTGCTTGTCTCAATGTGTTATTTTGTAATTTAGCAGAAGTGCTTCCTATTATTTAAATGTTAAGTGTTCAGATATTGCAAGAGAATCCTAATCTGGCATCTAAAAGGAGTCCTGTAATCTTGCACTTCAGTGTCAGCTGCTTTTCTAATGTGAAATTTCTCTCCTTTAACTAAGACATTGCAACTTCAGCTATTTATACTTTTGAACCTTGAACTTAGAGATTTCTGCAAGTATTTACTCACTCTAGTCTTGTTTGATATATTGAAGATCTTTCTCATTTATATGAAGTTCATAATAGGTATGTACAGACAAAGGATGAAAAGGCATTTCTGCTGCTGTTGGAGGAGACTGGAATTTTTCTTTTCTATTTGGTAGGAATTCAGTGAGAAGAAAGAAAATGGGAGAAATGTAATGTTATGTTTTAAAATAGTGATTACAAAGTACCTGGTGGCTAACTGTATTCTAAAGGCCTAGTTTAAAAAAAAAAAAGTCTCCTATAATCATAAAGAGACAGCACATTTGCATCTCTTTTCTTTGTCTTTCATTGACATATAAATAATAGTTTTTTAAAAGTGATTTGGGCTGTGGAGTTCAAATTAGTCACCTGACCGTGAAGATAATTACTATTAGCAGAAATATATAATGCCTTTTTTTAGAGTAGATGACCTCCTCATAATTATAAATAAAACTATGAACAGTATGCCATATAAATTTGAATATTTCAACATTTTAAATAACTTAAGGAGTTTGAAACCCCGTATTTCAGTGCTAAATTTAATACTTCCATACTTATCCCAGTTTTTAGTTGCTTTCTTCTCCCATCATTTCTCTTTTATTCTCTACTCTAAAACACTCAGATTTCTCTTCCCTTCTTGTTCTTATTTTTTATTGAGAAACAGAAATGAAAGTATAACTAGTTCCTAATTAAGTAGTGCCAGTGCTCTCTTTAGTAATTTTTTTATAGAAAATTAAATAAACATTTGTAATTAAATTACTCCTAAAAAGTGAGATTAAAAGCCACTATTTTGCCAGAAAGGAGGCTGCTGTTATCTTTACTCTGTAGAAATATACTAATGATGCTCAAATGTCAAGAAAAGACCTTAGCTGTGGTTTACCACATTCAGATAGTTATTTTTGTTTTCCTTCTGGCATTAATATATGTTCGTATGTATAAACCTAGATTACTCAAAATATAACTAGCAGTATTCCAAATCTCTGCCATTGAGCACTAGTTCATGTGCAGAACAAAAGAGATCCCCAGTATTTCTAGATGAATCAATCTTTAAATATAATTCTGCTAAAGTATATATAGTATATCAAAATTGCACAATTGTATCTTGATACATATCTACAAATCTGGTTTTACTGTTGAGGGATTGGAAGTTTGGAAAGTAGAAAAATCAAGTTGAGTGTTATGAGAGAGAGTAAAAATAACCTCAGGGATATGGTTCATCTGTTATTGGATGAAATTGTTTTTTAATCAGTAACAATTTCACCAAATAGTAATTTTTTTCCCAATATATCTAAAATCAGAGGCTTCCCGTCTTTACTTTCTTAGAGTCCAATATGAGATACCAGTTAAAAATTCAAACATAATGGTTCAAGCTAATTAGATTAGTAAAAGATGAAGCTGAGATTGCATCTAGGATTTTAAGCTGCCCATTTGCTTGCCAGATACGTGATCAAGTGCTGGTCTGGAGGGTGCTGGGTTTGTTGTTCTTCGCAAATTTAATTTGTAACTCAATTTCCCATCCTGGGTGCATCATGTGATGCAAGGCTAGCTGCTGTTTGACCGCCTTCATGCTAAAATTCCTTATAACAGCTGATGGCTGATGTCTTCTTCATGTGTTTTCTTGTGAAGCCAGCTGGATTTGAAAGCTATCTGTTTTAGATAGAATCAGTGGAGAAGAAAATTTATAACAGGCTTTGAACTGACACTACAGAGAAGTGTATGTAAACAGCCTTGAATGGGTAGTGTCCAGTCATACAAATCCCTATTCAGATTTGATTTGAGCGATTTTTTTACTTTCAAAGGTAACTCTAATGGAGTTATAGAATCTATGTTTAAAAATATGGGTCCTCATGACTGGGACCTGTAATAGAATACATTGTCTTGGTAGACACATGGTAGTAGCATAAAGTTTGCTTTAGTGTCTCTTGTGTCTTTAAAATATTCAAAATTACGTATACTTTAAAAATGTATTTTACTGGAATTACGTTCTTTCTGAAGTTCCCATTTCTGGGTTATCAAAAATCTGTATCTCTTTAAATGCTACCAGCAACAGACCTTGACATACAAATTTTCATGTTATGTCATTGTCTTTATTCCTGCAGACACTTCAGTTCAGATACTGTTAATCCTTCCATCAAATCATTGCTGTGTGGCAAGTCCAATTGTGCTTTCTGTCTGTTTTTCTTTGCTTACCAGCACTGCGTCCTAGCAAGTTACCATCAAGAAGAGCCCTAATTTTCACAATCACATACATTGACACTGGTTATTTGATAGTCTTATGTTATATGGTCTTGATTATGGTCTGTGACTAATAATTTTCAGTCACTAAATGTCTCTGCCTAATGTTTCAGTGTTGGTGAGGGAGATATGTAAATTTTGATCCTGCATTGACAATGAGAAATTTGGGAATTATTTTTAAAAGGGGTTAGGTGGCTTTAAAACCCAAAGAATTTAATATTTTTAACATCTGTATCTATTTGGAAACAGACTTTAATCTTCCTAGTACTTTAAAAAAGGATATTATCCCTTGATACTGATCTAAACCTGCTGCTTGGTCAGTCATACTGTCCTCAGTTGTTGTTATAGAAGCTAAGACATATTTGACAGTAAGTCTCCAGAACTTAAATTCATATGGAAATAGCACAAAAATGTTTTAACTTTTTTGTTTAGATTTCTATATGAAAACCTCAATAATACCTTTTAAAGATCACTTGACTAAAGCAGTTAATTCTGTGGATGGGGTTTTGGGAGATTTTTACCAAACACTTCATATAGTCTGGTCCCTCCCACATTTCCATATGAGGAGAATAAAATAAGTCTTAAACATAATCACAATGTGTAGAATCAATAGGATGGGAAAACAATACTTAAAAATTAGTAAAACAGCGTACTGAAAGCAGTGTTTAATCTCTCTTCATACTAGAACTTGCCTTAATATGGAATGAGGGTGAAATAAATGCACATTATAGTTAGAATCAGTAATAATTGTTGTGATTTGTTTGGATTTTTTTAGGTATACTCCACTTGATTATGCCTTGCTTGGGGAACACCATGAAGTGATTCAGTTCATGTTAGAGCATGGGGCTCTGTCTATAGCTGCCATTCAGGATATTGCTGCTTTCAAAATCCAGGCTGTCTACAAAGGATACAAAGTTAGAAAGGCTTTTCAAGAGAGGAAGAATCTCCTAATGAAACATGAACAGCTGAGAAAAGATGCTGCTGCCAAGTAAGTCTGAGACTTGAAATCTTCTCCAGCAAATGGACATTTGTCATAAGTTTGTATTCATCAATGTATGATTTTATTTGTTATTCATCATCATTTATTGTTCTTCTTAGTAAAATTCGTGAAACCAAAGGAAGCTTATAACTCCCATATACCTATAGATAGACGGAATTTATTTTCCATATAATCCCAATTTGAATAATGAGCTTTATATAGTATACAAGAGAAAGGCAAAATACCAAAATCTGAGAAACTAGCATGTTTCCATGAATCTTTGCCTGATACTGTGTATGATGATTAAAAGGCTTGGAAAAAATTTATCACATTAATGTAATGGAAGTAATTATTGACCTATCAAGTCTTGTTATCAGTTATGAAAAGTAATGAATACATAGTTGAAGGAAAAGAAAAAACAAACGAGGGAAAGCCTGGTTTGGTAAGGCTTAACTTAATGTTTCACAGGAGAGGTTGTGCTTTTCTAGCAAACCAAAATCCTGTATTTATTTGCAATTTCAGTTTTGGCAGTATACATTCTCTGCATTTATGTTTTCTGGTCTTGAATTAGAATTCCTATGAATTGGTTATAGTGGATTATAGATAACTAACATATGCAATTCAAATAGTTATCAGCAAGATGTGTAGATTCTGCCTAAGTTTCTACCCTGCTTAAAGGAGGTAAGGATAGCAAAGTAGTGAAATTAAAAAGTCAGAAGGTACATAAATGCTTTGTTTCCTTGACCTTTATCCTTAAGATTCATAGTATGAAATAAAACAAATTAGCACCTTGTTTCTCTTGAAGAAATCTGATTCTGGGATGAAAAAAGTAACAGTCTGAAAAGATTTCTGCATGATTTTGTAGTATTATTTCTGTAAAGAGAGGTCATATGAAAAAGCCACACAACATAATTATTGCACTTAGAGGTATTTTTGCTGGATCTGTGTATCACAGACAAATTCAACTGCAGTCCATTCTATCAGATTTGGTAGTTTGATGTTCTGCATAACTGACCAGTGTGACCTTCACTGGGTTTGATTGCTGCTATACTATACTGGATAACAATTGTTATTTCCCAGTAAGAACCAAAGCTAGAAGTATCAGATAACTGATCTCTTGCTCACATCTTTAGATCCTGAAGTTGTAACATGTAGCCCTCCTACTATTTGCCTTTTCCGCTGAAGTCAGTAGAAGTCAAAACCATGCATGGAGAAGCTGCCTTTGAAAGTATACCAAATATTTTATGTATTTCTTTTTAATGTGGAGACCTCTGTGTATTTCTGTGTGGTCACAACTGACTTTACCAAATGAGATAGTTTTATCCTTTGTGATGACAGTCAATTTTAGAAGAATCTATGATACCCCATCTAGAAGATTAAATGGAAAAGAATTGCCTCATGGAAATTTGGGGGTATTTTTGTAATAGTTTTCCTTTGTGGGTTTCTGATGTACTTTCTGAGACTTACTTAGCTCTTGTTGATTTGTTTGAAAACAATAGAATCAAAGTCTGTGTATCAAATACCATAAAAACAGAATTACAATACAACTGGAGTGTACAAGCAAATCAGGTTGTCACATCACAAATTTTATTTAATTGCAATTTTATGATCTGTAATAAACTGAAGGGGACATTATATTGTCATCATTCTGTGTACCCATCTGTGCATTCCACAGCTGAAATTGGACAGGGTGTTGCTGCATACAAAAAAAACTAATATCCCTACTGATGTTTAAAAATCTACTCTCCAGATAAAAGTAGTCATTATGTGGCAATCCAGAATGATGGTGAACTCCTAGATTGAACACCACCCCCCCACCACTATTTCAGTGTATGTATTTAAAACTTGCTTTTTAATATGTTGTTTTAAAGGGTCTCACGAAGATAAATCACTTCTAAATCTCCATGATTTAATTAACTTGTTCTTTTTTTTCCTTTTTTGCCCTAACTAAAAGTCAACCAGCATCTTGTACCTGTATTATTTTCTGGTGAAGTTACATTCACTGTATTCAAAGCCTGTGAATTATTTCTATACAAACATTTTCTCCCATGTTCTCTTGTATATCAAAGAAATGGTAATTTATAAAATGAAGATTGATGCAGACAAATCCAACATGCACACTATTATACCATTGAGCAAAGAGACATATCAGGAGACCAATTTGGGTTAGCAGGGAAGCCATGGCAGAGGTCAAATGCAAAAAGGCAGTATACAGGAGGTAGAAGTAGGGACAGACTGCAAAGGAAGAGTGTAAAAACATTGCTTTGGCATGTAGAGATGGTACCATGAACACCAGAACTCAAATGGAGTTGAGGTTTTAAAGGGATGTTGCAGGTAACAAGGTGGGTTTCTGCTTCTACATTAATAGGAGTAGTAATACATTACTACAAGGTTGAGCGAGGAATATGTGGGGCTGTTGCCAAATGGTGCATTTAGTGACAACAGGCCCAGGTGTGGCAGAAGTGCTCAATGCCACCTTCTGCTCAGTCTTCCAGAAGAAGCTCTCCCAGGCCTTTTTTCTTAGAGAAGTGTTTCAAGGAGGAGGAGAACTACTAACTGTGAATGAGGATTAAGTCAGGGGTGGCTTGAGAGAACTCAGCCCAGACAAGTCCATGGGACCAGATTGGCTGCATCCAAGGGTGGAGAAAGAACTGATGCCCTTCAAAGGCCACTTTCCAATATCTTTGAAAGACCACAGAGACTAGGGAAGGTCCCCTGTGATTGGAGGAAAGCAAATGTTGTACCCAGCTTTAAAAAGGGCCAGAAGAACAATCTGTGAAACTGTATTCTGGTTAGTATCACTTTGGTCCCTGAGAAAGACGGGCACTCACTTGTCCACTTTCCCATTCAGCTTCTCAGAATGAGCTCCTGATACCTTGTTTCTGGTTTTCATTCTGACCAGTTAAAGAAAACTGATTGAGGGTGGATGTGGATGTGGATGTGAAAGGGAAATGGATGGAACTGGGTAAGAGAAAGTAACTAGTAATATTTAGGAAAAGAAGAACAGTAAGAAAATAAACAGTTCAATGACACAGTCTTCAGAAAGATTTTGAAAAGCACCAAGAGACTGCAAGTAGATTATGAGGTTTTTCAAAAAACTAGTTATAAGGCCTGAATGTTGAGAAAAAAAGGGGAGTGTAGCAACAGAGAAACTAATGAGCTCTTCAGCGACCTGAAAATTGAAAGCACGCAGGGGAAATTTGGTGTAATTACTAAAATTGAGGGTAATAAGAAATACAATTATAAAGTTAAACAAGCTGAGGTGCAAAGTAAAAAGAACTGGCAAGGGATGTGACGTATCACAATAAACCATTGTAAACATACTCATGGTAAAAGGAAGAGTAAAGAAAGAGTTGGCCTGCAAGTGATGCTAAGAAGGCTGAAGTATTTCATGTCTTTTGGGGTTTTTTGTTCTGTTTTTTTTTTAATTCAAAAGAATTGATATCAAACCAACTCAATTTTTGTTTGTGTCAGAATAACAAGTTTTGTGGCCATGAAGAAACTGTAGCTGTCATTCAGACTTGCCTTAAGTTTTCATACTTTCTTATGGAAAATTTCTCATTTCTCTCCTTTAAACTGGAAGTGTATATTGATGAGAATTTCAGGTATATCCATCATGAATCTAAATTTTCATTTAAAAAGTAAAATGTTAAATCTGGGAATAGCACCGAGTTGCAGAAGACTGTAAGCACATTGAAGACTAAATTTGAAATCAGAATGGTGTTAAAATACATATGAGAAGAAAAAATAAATAGTCAGGGAAGGACAAATAGACTGCTCTACGCATTTGACTACCAGTCAACACAGAAATGCTGGACAGAAATTAACAGTTGTCTTATCATTTTTATTATCTCTTTAAAAGGCTGCAGTAGCTCAGAAGCTGAACATGTCATGAGTCAGAAGTGTCATGCTTTTAAAAACCATCATCATGCTAGATTGTATAGCAGGGGGTGGCTGTTTACACAGCATGAAATACAACTCCTCTTACTCCAGATAAAGCTTCACCAGTAGTAGAATCATACCAGGAGATCCATTTTCAGTTGAAATTTTTTAAGTAACTTTTTTTTTTTTTGCAAGCATAAATTTGAAAATGCTGTCCAGGTATATGTACACGTTCTAAATTTAAAACATCATCCAATGAGTAGATAAAAAAGTAAAGTGTTCTTAACAAAATAGAAAAGGTTGAATTCACATGAGCAGGATCAAAAATTCAAAGAGTCTCTGTGTCTTCAGTAATATGTAAGGCTGAAACTGTTCCTTACCATCTGCTAAAGGCTCAGTTTTCATTCTTTCACTTTTGCAACAAAATACAAATTTATGGCCATTCTGGACAAAATTCTATTGCATTTACAGTGGAAAATATTGACTTGCCAGCTCTGCTACCACTGCTGAGCTGTAGATGTCTAACTTTAGAGCCCAAATTTGGATCCTGCTGAGTCGTCAGAAACCTCCTGAGAATGACTGAGAGCCCTTAGGTTAGGAACTTGTCTACTTCCTTTACTTGCTCATGAAACCTAGTCTGTCAACTTAGACAACAATAAAACTTGAAAATTTTAATTTCAAATATATCCCTCATTGTAATACAAACTGAATTTCTGATAAAATAAAGCAAAACACAAGGGGAGGCTCTTTTGTATTCAGGAGTCTGTTAATCATCTAAGGTCTGCTGTGACAATTAGGATGATGGTCTATGAATAGGAAGCTTTGAAATCCCTTCCCTTTATTATTTCTTCAGTTTAATCTGAAAAGTTTTAGCACACAAGCAAAAGCTCTTTAAAAAAAAATCCCCTTTTACTTCTGAGTTTCTGGTCCTGTGTCATTTCCATAGCACTTGGTTGTTTTGAGTTGACCTGCTCATCAAAGGCATGCAGGCCACTCTGGCTTGATTGTGTATCATACAACCCATCTCACATTTCCTTTCCTAATACCCTGAATGGAGGACATTGGTAATAGGCTGCTTAATTCTTGTGAAGAAAAGAAAATTACTATTCTGTGAATAGTAAGATCTGATTTATCAGCTCAAATGGCTCAGTAATGGCAGCGAGATCTATACTGTACACAAACCCAACATCCCCATATCGTCCGGTTGTGGAATGCCAATATTGTCCAAAACTAGCCCCTTTTTTTTTTCCATGCCAGAGGGAATACTGAACCTCAGGCTGCTAGGAGTGTATCCTTTTAGATCAATTAGCAGCTTTTCAGGTGCAAAGTTCAATCAGCTTCTTCTGCGGAGCATACTTGATAAGATAGCACTGACAGATAAAGTTAAGTCTTCTCCCTGGCAGCTCACACTGCGGTGACACGTGCTGGCATTGATGCGGCTCGTGGGAACTGGGGCTGGCACGCTGCATAACTAACCTGTCATACGCCGTGCCGAGAGATAATGTGGCAACAGTCTGCAAACTGTGTTGGAGCATTGGAAGCAAGTTAAAATATAGGGCAGCTACATGATACGACATTTACCGCCTGTCCGTTCCAACAGGAGAAGTGTCACTTCATTTAGCAACCAGTGCTTAATTTATAAAAACAAATTCACTGGTAGGTAGGTGTGTAACATTTGCTATGTGCTACTGGGTTTATCCTGCTTGGTAGGAAAAAAGAATTTAAAAGATGAAGTTCAATGATAACCCACCTTTCAAAACAGGCTGCAAAATTTTATTCAACAGATGCATCTTTCGTTACTTTGTTCAGAATTCTATGTTATGTCTACACTATTTAAGAGAGACATGACTTCTTTCATTTTTGAAATCCAAATGTCATAAATGTAATGGCATACTATATGCACACAAGTTATTAATTCAGATCTCATATTTCCAATGTTTATAATTTGTATGGCATATGTTTATGTAAAATAAATTAATTATCTACCAATGATAAATATATAGGAGCAAGTTAGTACCAGTAGCTAGTTGGAAGTTTGTTTATAATTGTCTGTATTAATTATGACACAGTTAAGTATGACAAAATAATTTTCAAAGAGATTATGTCTTTTACTAAAGTTTTTTGATTTTCAAGTATAGTGCATTACTTTACTACTTATTTGAAAACTTTGTTCATTCCTAATTAAAAACATAGTTATTAGTATAATAACTATTTTCAAAATCCTACTTTTAATTTTTGTATATTTATAAAACCCCCTATATTTAATTGTTTTTAACAATTGAGTGTTTTAAAATCAGTTAAAACCACTGCAAACTGAATGGGGCGATGACTGACAAGAACTTAACCTTCATTAGGCTTTAGCTGCAAGTCCATTGTTGCTTTGGATCAACCCAAGACATTTCAGTGCAATAGGTGTCCTTTTCTCATGAAAAAGATGTTACAGCCAAGGTTTTATTGTGGCATTGTCAGATTTTTAGAGAGGAACGTGTTTAAGTTAGATACATGCTTACAAGATTTTGTCTTTGAAATTCTTATGGTAATTCTTCTATAATTGCAGGAAACGTGAAGAGGAAAGTAAGAGAAAAGAAGCCAAGCTACAGAAAGGGGTGCAGAACGTGGAACAAAGCAAGTTTCGAGCACAACAGAGTCCTGCAAATCGAGAGAAGGCCACCAGTGTCCCACAGTTACCCAGTAAACCATCTGATACACAGAGTAAGAGACTTCTGCCCCTCAACGCTTCACAAATTCAACCAGGGAGAAACAGCAGAGGTTCACCTAAAGCTTGTCACAACAAAGGGACCTCAAAGGAGAGTTGCTTACCAGCGGAGCCTCAGAGTGAAGGTCATAAAATCAGCCAAGGTTTGTGAACTTTTTATAGTTGTCCTGGTTATCTGGTTTGTACAAGTCTGGGGGTGTTTTATATATAGGACCTGTATGGTCTCTCTATCATTTCTTATTCTTAAGTAATTCATGCAGGATAGAATTAGATACAGATTCTTTTACTCTGTGTGAAGTAGTCAAAAACACCAGCATATACAATGTCTATAAAAATACCTAAAATATGTGAGAACAGGTTGTTGGCAGTTCTATTGGTTACACTCTTTGGAGAAAATAAGATTGAAGATATTTGACATATCTGTGGTATACTTGAAGAATGTTAATGAAGAAATGGTAACTTTTGGTTTTAAACAAGGTTAAAATAAGGATAAAATTGTTCTAAGTGACATTTCTAGTACACATGGGGAGCTGTTCAGTCAACTTCATTTTCCATGACTGGGTTCTCCTGTGATTTGTCTCTGAAGTCCTCTTGTTGAGAACACTCAAGGATACTTTTTGAGAAGTGAGAATTTAGAAATTGTACTCTGAAACATTGTGTCAAAACTCTTTCTGTTACTTTTCTTGCCCTGCTGTACTCTTTTTTTCTATCTGTAAATGCATCATCAGTTCATCATAATTTCTTGACCACTTCTTATTAGTTTTTTGAGATACACATCTTAATAACATTTCAGTCAGTTCTGACTTCAGCCAGTTACAGTAGCCTATAGCTCAAATATTTCAAAACTGGTAATGTTAAAGCATCTTTGTTATCATTAGAAGCAAAAATTGGAAAAGTAGTTTATTCAAGGTAAGTTGCTAGAACTCCTCAGGTGTAAAATTGCTGCTATTCCCTCTGGAAGTTCTGCTAATCAGAACAGTATAATAATCCAGAAGAAAAGAAAGTGAAAGAGCCTTTTCTACTGAATCATTTTGCCTGGATTTCTTTAGCTTGTACATGGAAATACATTGGTAAACAGAATACTTAACTATACTGTTATAGTAAAAGCAGACATATCTTAGCCTAACATACACTATGATAGCTAAGTAATGATAAATAGGTGTTAAAAATCCTAGCAAGCTTTACCAGCATGTGCATTAACTTTATATTAGTGAAAATATTCATCTGGCAAAGTAAAACACATAAGAATAATCAGAAACAGTGGTTTCCAAATGAAAAATGAATAATTGTATTGAACATAATGAGGAAAAATTGATAAGCATGAAAAAAAGGGAAAGGAAAAATAAAGATGTGGGGAGGATTACAACAGTGAAGGGGTGAGAAGAAAAGGAGAAAGCCAAAGAAATGATAAAACAGGAACAATCAGCCTTTTCTTTTACTGACTCCACTATCCATTTTTAGTCAAAATCTACCATTGGTTATGACAATGGAAACTGCATTGCATTAGTCAGACTTCCACTGTTTCTTGGAACAAATATAATGATTTTGCACTGAAACAGTAACCTAAGGAAGTAGGTAGTAGGCAGTCCATGGGAAACATGGGATATAAATTGACTGCACAGATCAGGACTGAATTTGTGAAATTTACTGCAGAGGATTCTAGTATTAATATACTTATATTTGAAAAAATACATTAATGTTCAGTTTTCTACATTGCCCTTCACAGGAAGCTAGGGAATTCAACCTAGCAACAAATGCCAGCAGCTTGGACTACTGATTGAAGGCTTCCCTGAAGTTGGATATTTCCTGATGTAGCTATGCCAGAATAATTTTTCTATGTTGATGGTTCTACAAGTAAAATTTTAAAACCATGTAGGCTATTGCCTAAATGTTTTTCTTGCTCTTCAGTATATCTTTAAAAGCAGAATATAATTTCTGCAAAAGATAGAATTTCAAATAGAAAATTCCCTGCTATTGTTGATCATCTTTCTTTACCATGAGTGTTGAACATGAAGAGAATAAAAGTCTTTACTCAAGGTTCTTCTGAAAATCTGTAACGTGTACTTCTTGCTATGGTGAGACTGGTTTACCTTCAGAGATTGTAAAGAAAGCCCCCTTTTGCCCAATCCAAACAGTGTTTGAAATAGTGCTATGTCACTTTTAGTTATGCATTCTCCTTTTGTTATTGAAATGATATCAGGAAAGTTGATGCAGCAAGGATCAAATCATGGAGTTCTATAATGGGTTCTCATTAGGTGTTTTAATCAATCCTCTTGTGACCAAAACTTTAATGGACTTCATTGGTCATTTTATTGGAATTAAATGTAAATTTAGACCCTTTGGGCTGTGAAAAATGTGATTTAGTTGGTGGGTCTTTTCTGATCTGCTTTCCACAGATAAATCCTCCTTCCTATGTATGTTATTTCACTTGCCTTAACTGTGGTATAAACAGATAAGTTTGGGGTTTGTGCTCTGTACTTGTTATTGCTTGGTCTTCCTAAGAAAGTTTATTTCACTGTCAAAAGACAAGCTAGAATAGTTAAATCATGGAGTTTTTTCCATTATCCAGATACCCAGTTGTTCAGATGGGGAAGTTTTGTGCCTACGAATGTCTTACAGTTAAGTAAGGCATGCTGCATGTGCAAACCAGGGGGTAGGTTTTGGAGAGTTCAGAATGAATCTGTTCAGTGAGCAATACTCAGTTATCCAGTCAAGAGCATCCTGTAAAGGTATTACAATGAGGGTAAATATAGCATGGTTTCACCAGGGTTTGGATGATCCAGAAGATTTTCTGTAATTCCAGTGTATCAAAGATCTCTTTCTTTACTTTTTCTCCTCCTACCTACCCTGTAACATCCTGTCTATTTTCTATATTTCATCCTGTCTGGTCTATTTCCTCATTCTTCTGTTAAGTTTCCAAACAGAATGGAAGGTGGATGGATGATGGGAGATTTTCAGTTTTGCACTCCACTGTGGCTTCTGAGTCATCCTCACAATAGTGTTTAGAAGCAGTTATCACATAGCAGCAAGGGAGGAATGGGAAGGACTTCACAGTTTCATTCAGCATGTCAAGGGAAGTACTGAGAAACCAAGGGCTTTGGGTAGGTTCCCTGGATCAGTGGGTTATCCTGTGTGTCACTGTGTGCCAGGATACAGGGTGGCTAGGGCAGGAATTTAGCAAAAAAGCTTGAAACAGTGACGGTCACTTATGGCATTCCAGGTACTGGGAATGAGCAGCTGAGTTCATGGGGCTGCATTCCTGTGTCACATGGTAAGCTGGTTTCTTGGGAGAACACCTGTACAATCAGGTTGGTGAAGAAATAGTTTCTTCCTGTGAGCTTTTTTTTAACTCCAATGTAATGTGAGTAAGAAAATAGTTTCTAAACAGTAAGCAAATAAAGAAGTTTGGGACTCTACTCTTACATACAATCATGTCCTCTTTTGATTCTTTCTGCTTACTTTTTCTTTCTTCATTTAAGTAAATTCTAGTGTGTCTCAAAGGTAACTGAGCAAAAAAAGATAGAGAACTAAACTATGTTTTGCTGGATCAGAGACTAAAAGTTGACTTCCATTTCTCTGTCCAAAGATTCATCGAGGAAACATATCAAAAGCAAGTCAAGTTGTGTCCATTTCCATTGTGACAAAGCAAAAGAGGGAGCAAAAGTTGAAGTGAAACATCAGGTTGCAGCTGCTACAGATCTGAATGGAGAAAAGCACAAGGAGCACACTGTTGATGCCACAGTGCCCCGGAGGAGCAGAAGGCTTACTACTTCTACTTGTAGGACTGCTAGTGTTGGGGAAAAATTAAGGGATCCAAGTCAGCCTTCATCTGGCAAGAGGGACCATTGTGAGGGAACGGCTGCATTCTTCTGCAATGTCAGTTGTGCTGGTGGGGCTGTGAGAAACTCAAAACAGTGTGAAGCTTCTTCCAAAGGCAAAAGACATCGGGAGAAGTCCAGAAGTAAAGAGGTAAATGATAAGCGATGTTCACCAGCTGGTTCTAGTAGACCAGGAAGTGCCAAAACAGTATTTGTAAACAGCAGAAATGACAGCACACATGCTGTGGAACGAACTGACAAAGTGGAAAATAACGAATTAGCAAAAAAGGCTTCCCCATTATTGTGTGCTGGGGCAGAACCTACCGGAACTGTGCCAAGAAACCCAGTAGCATGTTCTGCTCCTGCTGACAGTTTAAACTTGGAAAAAACAGATGTAATTGGATCCAGGAACACAGATGATCAATTATGTTCTGTCGCATGGCAAAGTACAAATATTGAACTAATCCCTTTAGAGATTCGAATGCAGATCATAGAAAAAGAAAGAAAAAGAAAAGAGCTATTTCGAAAGAAGAACTATGCTGCTACAGTCATACAGAGGTCATGGAGAAGGTAAGACTACTGTTTCAGTAGTTAGAGAACAGTGAGATATGCGTAGATGTAAATTAAATTAAGATGGTTGGCAATGTGCTTTATTTGGTCCTTTTGCTTACAATGTTGCTAGTGCTAAATGAGGCATTTAATAATCCTTCACCAAACAAGGGGAAGCGAATTCCAGTCACCTAGAATTACATTAGTAAGTTCATAGAAAATGCAAGGTAAGTTATGACTTTTAATAATTGGAAAAGGTATTAAACTTGTTTCAAGCGCTGATATTATAATTTCTTCCTGGAGTTCACTGCCGTTGTGTTCATTAGCAAAGTTACACGTGTAAGGATACAGGGTTTTTCCCGAAAAGGTTTTTGTAACCAGACCCTTTACCACCAGTTACTGACACACAGGTACTCTGATCTGACTTTTAACTGGATAACCAAACCACAGGATGTTTGGAAGCTTTGAACATTCATTGCCAAAACTTGATGCTAGCTTCAGTACCTTGATTAAGCAGGAACAACTGCTGTACAGAAGAGGCAGACAGGAGAGAGTGAGATATCCCAGTGTTTGCTTTCCACAGCATTAGCCTGCTTTCATGAATGCATGAGTTTCAACCTGAGAAATACAGTCATTGTTAAAGTACTCCTTAATATTTAATTTCTTAAAGTGCTCCTTATTATTTAATTTCTTATCAAAATAGTCAGGAAGAGCATGGCAGCTGTAGGTGAAGCATATAATATGTACATAATTTTTATTTCCTGTTTTTATTGAAACTTTCTTCAGTGTTTATTGGATGCAGAAAACTATAAATTGCTGATGTTTACTAATATTCTTTCCAGATCACTGACTAGTTTAACTGTTTCTTATATGCTGTAATATTTCTTAGTATTCAATTAAAGAAAAAATAACAGGCAAGTTCCTTTCAGAGCTTAATTGTCACACCCTATGGTGTAGTTCAGTAGTGATGCAAAAATTGTTCCCCCAACCAAACTGTATCAAAGGGACTACCTGTGGGATGTCTGGGAGCATACAGTGGTAGTAACATCTTTTATCCTAGTCCCTGGGAAACCTGCAAGTTTCCTGCCAACAGCAGAATCAGGACTTAATGCCCAACTGCCTGCAGAATGAATGGTGATTACTGGTAGATCTCCCTTCTTCTGGGTCATGCTGGAAGCTTTGATTCACTGGTGGAGGAATTCAGAGGGGCAGTTTCTTTGCCCTGCTGTGCCAGGAGCAGAGTACTAGCTGTCTTCCCAGCTCAGGACAGCCTCTGCATCCAACCCACTCTGCCACAGCGTGGAGCAGAAGGGAAGCACTCAGCCGCTGAAGCATCAAGGTCTCCTTTCTTTGTCACCGCAGCCTGGGCTGTTCAGCCACTCAGTGGCGTGTCCTCTGGGCCTCATCAAGCAGGGCCAGGACAAAAGATCTTTTTTTTGCCAAGTACTGTGTAGCTCTGAAAAGCTATAAAAGAATCATGGGATTGTGCTGCCTGCTTTCAGTAGTGCTTCCAGGCTTAAAATTTCTAATTTTGCAAGGTGAAGCATTACCTGTGTTTTCTTATTGTAAAAAACACCAGGGAGGGAAGAGACTAACATTGCCAGTTGCTTGTTTGTGGAGTTTTGAGGACTGGTATCTCTCCCATTGCTTTTTCCAGTTAACTTGCAAAGGCTGAAGAAGTCTTGTCTTTCTCAGAAGGAGCTGACACTGCTATTACTAGGGAAGGGACACCAGACCAGACACCCTGTAGTCCAAGCTGGCAGTCATTACTAGGGGAAGGGATACCAGACCAAACACCCTGTAGTCCAGGCTGGCAGTCCATTTGTTCCTAAACTGAATTGTGGCCATTTAGACATTTGTGTTGGCTCAGTGAATACTTCTGTTTGCTCCAGCTCTTTTATTGATCAGTACAAGTATTCCCAAGCATAAGATTGGATTTATTGTCCAGTAATATTCCAGGTTATCTCTTCACTGTTGTTGGAATATAAAAGTTACACTGGCTTTTATGAGTACATGCCTATTCCACTGAAAAGTTAACATTTCGAACACACTATTCATATTTGAATGATTTTTTGGTGAATGAATTTTTTTGGTGAAAATTTCGACTTGTACAGTATCAGCTATTTCTGCACTTCTATCATCTTTGCTCTCTGTCTGCTATTTATACATCCAGTTTTGGGATCCCCAGTACAAGAAAGACATGGACCTCTTGGGAGCAAGTCCAGAGGAGGACCACAAAAATGGTCAGAGGGATGAAACACCTCTCCTGTGAAGACAGGCTGAGAGAATTGAGGTTGTTCAGCCTGGAGAAGAGAAGGCTCCAGGGACACCTGATTGCAGCTTTTGAATACATAAAGGGAGCTTGTAAGAAAGATGGAGAAAGACTTTTTAACTAAGACTTGTAGTGACAGGATGAGGGGCAACATTTCTAAACAAACAGAGGGAAAGATTAGATTGGACATAAGGAGGAAGTTTTTTAAGATGGGGGTGGTGAGGCACTGGAACAGCTTTCCCAGAGAGGTGGTAAATGCACCATCCCTGGAAACGTTTAAGTCAGGTTGGATGGGGCTCCAAGTTGAAGGTGTCCCTGCCCATGGAAGGAAGGGTGGACGAGATGGTCCTTAGAAGTCCCTTACAACCCAAACCATTCTGTGGTTCTGTGATTCCATGACATATTCCTCATGCCCACTCCAAACTGCAAAGCAAAACAGCAGCTTGTTCTCCAGAGTTTCACAACTTCTGCCAGTTGTGTCTCTCTGCTGCTTCCAAATGCTTTTTAAGCAGCTTGGTGTTGGCAATGCCCACCTTGGCCTTCTTTTTTTCATGCAGATCCTGACTTCTTGTCTTATGTGTTCAAATCCTTTGGATACCAAAAGCTAAAGTAAGTCAGGAGCAGGTTAGGAGAGTGTATGTACAAGTGATACTACTGCTACTGGAGGCTCTGCCGTTTTCATTTAACACTGATTTAAAATCCTTAGAGAAGGGTAGGCGCATGCCATAGCTTTAAGTCAAAGCAGAATGGTGTTTAGTGAGTGCTTGTGCAAATGTCCTCACAAGAATTGGGATCTAAAGCCTTGCATTAAGCTAACTTACCTGCACAGAAATCTGTATTCCATTTACACTTGCAACTATTAAAAGATTTTGGATGGATCTTTCTAAATGATCCACCTGCCCAAACAGCAACGGTGTGCTATCTCTCTAAAAAGTGCATGCACTTTACTAACACTCTGCATTTTGGAAATTGTGGGAACTAAAGATTGTTTAAATTACATTTGTTATTTAAAGAATTAATAAGGAAAAATAAATACATTTGCTCTGTTTGCAAAACTCATAGGACATTAATGAAGATCATAAGTTCTGCAAGACAGCAGGAGAGATTAGTTTGGCAGTTTTTCCATTACCATTTCATTACGTCTGTGGACAGTTTACTCTTACTAGAGCTTTGACGAAGTTCATAAAGTTTGCAGCAATATCACGATGCATTTATTTCAGTGAATGTTTTGATGCAGAACTGCTCATTGGACAGTGATGCTGAGGTGAGGGCACTACACTGTTATGAAGAACTAAGCTTCTGTCCTGCCTTCTCTCTCCCAAGCCCACTGGCCACAAGCTGTGCTGTCTTTTCTGCTTACACTTTCAAGCTCAACTTGTACTTTATAGTCTTGAGTGTTGTGAAACTCACATGGATGAAGAAAGTTGTGAAATTGGAGCAGATTTCCTCCTCCTGATTTCCATTACCATAACATTAATGTTTATTTTAGAAAAGAAGAGAGCTCTGCCTCTGCCTTTCAAGCAGAGTTCATATAGGCCTCAAAAAAAGAGGCAGTGTGGGTATTTTAGGGTATGGATCCCAAGTCAGATGGTGGCACATGTCTGCCAAGAAGTCATGGTTAATGTTTCCTGTTAGCTCACACTAGGCAGCTGTATGTGCTGACTTCTAATATGTTTGTTATTCTGAAATACCCAACTTCCCATCCACTGAACCCCAAATTACATTTCTTAAGCAGGTGCTTACTGTGTGGCTGTGCGTCCCACTTGGTCCCATGTTTCTCTTTTGGTTTCTCTTTTCTTCTACACATTGACAATGTGTAATTCTGCATTAGAAACATGACAAGTACATGCTTGAGTTCTGGAATTTCTCTAAATTAAAGTTAAATGCATTTTTTCACTCTGCAAATTTTATAGTCCTGTTTTACTTACTGAAAGTAAACATAACAACATAGTGGTACTGGTCTACTTAAGTATATTAAACTTGCCGTTCTCAGGAGAATGTTTCAATTCCCATATCTGAAAACTTCATAAATGTAGTTCTCAAAAGTGTATTCTAAGGTGTGTGGCTTGCCAAAGGTTAATTGCTTATCCTGCTCGTCCAGGCTTACGGATCCTGTGTCTGTCTTGCTCTCTCATGGGGGGCACTGAGGCCTGTACCATTCTCCAGGGTCCACAGTGAGTCAACAGAAGCTGGAAATAAGTTGGTTGTTGTCACTGTTGTTCTCCCACTGAAGTCAAGTAGAAGTTGTATTTTTTTATATATATTATTGCCATATGCATAACTCTGAGCAGCAATAATTTTTTACAGCTTCTGCAGCAGTGAATGTGAATACCATTTGCCAGCTTTGTCACTCTGCACATATATTCCACGTTTCTTTTATGTACAGAGGTTTTGTTGACTGAGCATTGGGTATTTTTGTAAGGCACCATGTCAGACTCATATTGCATCAAACTTGGTCCCATTCTTCTTTTTTTCTCAGCTGAATTAAAAATTGTGCACTTGCTCCAAAGATAACTGCCTACATCTTCTCAGTGTCAGGGCTGCAGTTGTTTTCTTGTTGCTAAAAACTACCAGAAGTTCTCTACAAACATGAAATCACAGCTGGGTGCAAAGGTGGACTGCCTGTGAATGGGTCATTTCCCGTATCAGCAAAGGCATCTGGCAGTAATTACTGAATTCCAAGAGAGTAGCTTAGTATTCTTTTCTGCTCAAGTATAAAACAGTTCCCCAGTTGCTTTTCCTGCAGCAGTATTCACTTAACCCATCCTTAGCTCAAGTTCTGTTAGGAAGTCTCTGCAATTGTGCTCCCTCTTCACTTTCTCTTTCTCTCTTACCCTGTTGAAAAGTTAAAAGTGACATGTTATTTAACAAAACTGGATAATTTTTTTTCTTCTATCTCTCAGTAGTGCTCCTGTTCTGAATTCATACAGTGCTTCTCAACTTGCAGGCATAGGTAAGATGCAGTTGATGCCTGCATTTGTTATGTATTTTAATGAGCTGCATAACAGTACACGCCTGAAATCTGAAGCTTCACTAAATTAAGATTAAATAGGTTTGCCTCACCCAGCGAATTTCACAGCGGTAATTTACTAAGCTTATTGAAAGTTTAAAATTATTTGGGCTGTAACTGAGCATATCATCCCCCTGTGGCATTCTATTGTGCTTTTATGTACATTTTGGTTTGTATATGGGTGCTGTTTTGTTTGAATTATACAGTTCATTGGCTTATAACATATATTTAAGTAACTTGTATTTAGTTGTGTTGTCTTTTGTTCTAATTTAGAACTTATTGCAGATGGAGCAACAGAAAAAAATTGCTCTTTATCTCTCCTTCCTCATTCTCTTTACTGGGACATTTTGAATGCCAGAGGGGATGACGATCGATGTGGTTTGGCCCCTTACCAAACACTTATACTTAATATTTTACAAGTGTTACTCAATGTTCATTTGTGACAGGTTTGTACTGGGAAGATTCAGAGTTAACTAATCAGGCCAACTAATTGATTTGTGAGTGTGAAATGCCAATATCCAATTGAATACTTATGTCCGATTCAAGGAAAGAAAACCAAAACAAACAGCTCCTTATTGCTGGTGCCATTTGCCACAGGAGTGTGAGGGGAGTGTGAAGAAGGACAGTCTGCCGCTGCCACTTGGCAGAGGGCTGTGACTGTGTGTCACAGACCAAAACAGCCAGGACAAGTCCGGGTCAGAAGACAGGGAGCCTTTGAAGGGAAGGGAAAAAACACAGATAGCTGAAAAAAAGGTGAGGCGAGCATCTTCAGAGGGGGGATGGAAAGCAGCTCAGTTTTCTGTAGAGGAAATGTGCAGTTGAACCCAGTGGAGGTAGACTTGGTTTATCTTTTGCACTGATTGACTGAGAACACAGAGTGGTGAGGCACACAAGAAAATCTGGTGTTACTAAGCTGTGAATATAGTGAAAATGAGGAAGCAGTATTGATTGTACTGTTATCATAAATATTTATAGTTTTTTCTTCTGCTAATTTTCTATTTATAAAGCAGTTGATAAGCTGATGTTGAAGCACTGTAACTTTTGATACCTGTAATGCCAGATCTTTACAAACTGTGTGAAATAATGGATGCATCCAAAATTGAACCCAGCTCCTACTTTTTCTTGTGAGCAAACATTTCTCATCCAAATGACTTGGCACATCAGTGGGAGTTCTGTTTTCCCAGTTACTCATGTAATCCACCATGTGAACTGATGCGTGGAAAGCACGGAAGTTAAAACAGGTCACCTAAAACAAGTGCTCTTCTCTTTTCTGCTCTCTAGTTACCAGCTAAGACAGGAGTTGTTTCAGCTTCTTAGTGCTAAGCGGCAGTGCAAGGAAGATGAAGACAAATGGAGACAAGAGACAGCTGCCTTCTTCATTCAGGTTGCTTGGAAGAAACAGCTGAACCATGGCCTTCTGAAATCAGTTCCTTCATGTAAAAATCTGAAATCTGTAAACAAAACCAGCTCAGCCATAAAAACCAGCAAGCAGTCTATCCTAAAGCAGATATATGGTAATTTTTACTATACTTTATTTTAAATAACTAAGTTTTTATCTTTTTAACAGAGTGTATTCATCTACTTGCTTTTTACCCAATTGCTAGGGATTTCAACTATTTATAAAAATTAGTCTTAATCTCAGGAGTTCTGGGTAATTTCGTTTCAGTTTCAGGTTAAAAAAACAAACATCAACTCTGTGATTTAAAATGGCTTCTGCTAAAGCATTATTCCAGCACAGGTCTTGAGCAACCAAATAATTCCGTTGCCAGAGCTGCTCACATATATCAATGTGGAAACAGAACAAAGCAGTTAAACTGGGGATAGCAGACTGTATCCATGCAGCGTGGCTATCTGGATCCTGGTTTCATTTTTTTTAAGCATTATTTTAAACTTTGGTTTGTGCTGTTTTTAAAATATTTCCATTTGAAGAGTATGTTCACGTTTGAACATAAGTGGTCTTTATGGAAAGACTGTCTTTTATAGTGACTCTGCACTGCTTTGCATTGTGCCTGAATGTGCACAGTGCAAAGGAATGCATCTTGAAGAAAGGGTAGAGGAAAGCATTGCTTTTAGACCTTGAGTTCCTTTACAATGTGGGTCACTGATGGAGTAAGGATATGCAAAGTATAAGTACTTTACCAGGTGGAAAGTTACTTCTATCATGGCTCTGTAGCTTAGATAGCGAAAAAGGATAACATAAATAAAGCTAATAGATTTATTTTCCTTTCCCCCCCTTTTTTTAATAACAACCCCAAGAGGTATTTTAACCTTACTTAAATTTCAGTTGTGGTTGTCACAATTTTCTATTATATAGAACGTCTCATGAGTTTCCTCATCAGAAATTAGAATAATTTTTAGGATAAAACAATGCTGTAGCTTATCGAAATAGTTTGTAGCTTTACATAACCATGTTTATGTGAATAAACACAGAGCTGTTCATATTGTTTGTTTAAAGGGCGTTCTCAGGAAGGCAAAGTGTTCCAGTCAACAAGATCTCCTTCTAAGCTGAAATTTTCTGATGTGCAGCTGGTCTCAGGTAGGACACATCCATTTTAAGAATACTTTAATGTTTATATATACAAGATTGGTTTCTTCTTAGAAAAGAAAAAGATCTGCTCAAGGACTGGGCTCTCCTTTCAAAATACGACCAAACTGTTGTGATTGTATGCTCTTTCTTTCACTAGTTTTGGACTTAGTTGAGCACTGCACTTTTATTCTTATGTCAAAACATTTAGATGAAAACCTGTTTTCATTGGGCTATTACTAGGAAAGACCTTAATATAATGGACTTTTACAGTGCTAAGGCAGATAACATTCACCTGTGGTTAAAACTGCTGACAGATGTTCATACTTGGGTTCAGCAGCACAAATATTTACTAGTCCTGTAGAACTAAAGAATGCTACATGTACCAAGAATTTACACACCTGTTTTTTACAAATACATGCTTTAATGCAGAGATGACAACTTGAAAATCCAAAGCTACTCATCTGATCTCTGCCCTTTCTTTTAAAATGTCATAATGGGGATCCTGTGCTGGGCATAGAGCTTTGGTCATTTCATAGAATTTTGTTTGCAGTTAAGTTTCAAGGCTCTAACAAAATCATGCATTTATTTTTCTCCTTAATTCAGAAGCCACGTTGTCATTACCAGGTCTGTTTGCAACTGCAGTGTTATGTCTGGAACTGGTATCAGGGCAGTAGGGTTGGCACAATCAGGACTGTCAAGCCATGCTGGCAGACATAAGGGGCTGCACCATGTGAAACAGAATGGTGTCAAAGAACTAAGATTGTAAAGGTATTATTGGGGTCATTAAAGGCTGGAACTTTCATGCGTGTGGTATTAATTGACAGCTGGCTTAAAAAATTAAGCTATATGATCATCTCTCCTACTACTTCTTTACTAAATGCCATTTTTAAGACTTTTTCAAGTGTATTATGTGCTTACTTGGGGTTGGGAGGTATAGTAATGTTAGTGCTTCACCATGTCAAGATTTAGAGCCTTGTTGGGCATTTGGTGTTCATGGCTGTACTACACGTGGCTCAGAGGCAGGTCACAGCTAGACAGGAACTAAGCAAGCACTTCAAGGAGACAGTAGTTCAGGTAATTTGCAAAAGGAAGTAAAATACATTTTCCAACTAGTTTAACAAAACTGTGAAGTCAGAAGGAAATCCAACAGTGGACCTATCCTTGAGTTTGTTAGAACTGTAGGTGAGTTTCTGACTCACTAAGAGACAGAGGCTTTTTTCTTTCACTGAGAACTGTTTTAATTAAGAGGCATGACCAGACAGGTGTTTGATTGCCACCTCTTCATGCAGATATGAATCTAAATTTTAAAAGAGCTTTAGCAAATAATGCTTCTTTTCGTTTAACTTTTCAGGACAACAGATCTCCCTGTCTTCTGAAATAAAAAGGCTTTCTTTTGAGGCTTGAGTGTCCTTTGCTTTGATAACTTGGTGACGAATAGGATAGTGATAGGAACTCTGCCCAGTTCCTTTAGAACACTACCTACTTTTATTCACCTAATAGGAGCTCAGGGAACTTTAGCCCTTACTTAAAAGACAATAACATGTTTTTCATCTGACTGCCTTTGTGCATGACAACATTACGTTTGTTGGAAAAGTTCAGAGCTGTCAGTGGCTAATGCCAGATACTCCATTTCTGACGTAGGTGCCTGGAGTAGGTCAGAATGGACTGTTCAGTTTGATTCTTCTCTTGCAGAAGGTACATCTGGGAAGGTGAAGACTGACTGTCAGCTCTAGCTTTAATGTTCATATAGGTAATGGAAAAAGTGTGCGGTGACAAATCTCTACCAAACTCAGTCAAACACTTCGGAAGGGGGGATATGCAGAAGGTATTCAAAGGAAATGTACGAATAAGTAAGGCAGGCAGCAGGTGACAGGTGGAAAAGGAGCATGCAACAGGATATACAGATAATGGATAGGTACTTCAGAATATTCCAGCAACTAGGGCCTTTTAGATTGTTACCATTAAAACATTTCAGAACCTGGAATTTGTTCCCTTTTGTGGTTTTTTGGTTTTGTTTTTTTAAAATTTATTAAATAGATGTCTTGTGTCAATTTAGCAAATGGTAAAGAGTCTGTCTGCAGCAGGCCAGACAGCCTGGTTTTCTGGTTTCACTGTGGACATTAAAGCATCTTCAGAGTTGTAAAGAAGGACGTTTTGCAACTCTTGGCATTAGAAAGAAGTCCTTAAAGTGCGCTGGGTTCACACCCTCAATGAAACATTCAGATTTAGAAGGACCGTGGCTAGAAGGGGATAAAGCACTGAAATTTAGCCTCAAAACATTTACAAAACTGGGAAGGGAAAACATGCATATTATTTGAAGCAGATTGCAGGAAATAAAAACATTGCATGAGCCCAGACATTCAGCCAGACTCAAACCTGAGGAAAATGGTCAGATGACATTGACTCTTGCTTTCTAATAATTCAAAGAGCACTTGCTTTAACCCTGGCCTGGTTTCCCCTACTTTCTAGAAATGGCCCACCTAATGTTGCTAAATATTGCTCAACAAAATTTCTTGCTGCTCTTCAACAAACTCAGCCAAGAGCAGTGTGTTAGTCTGGAAGCCTTCATTCATTTATGAGGGTAAATGTGGAGTTAAGCTCCCCCACTACAGGTTGCTGAAGTCCAACACACGCAGCAGCAGTGTTCTGTGCAAGCTGTACCGGGTGCCACAGAAACCAAACTATTCACAGGCAGTCAGCAGTGAGATGCCAGGAAAAAAGGGCATGTTCAGTAGATTCACTGTTTATGAAATCTAGAATGCAGTGCAGATGAAACTTTTCATCCTCTGGAATCACTCATCAAAACCATTTTGTTCTTTTACAGTAAACAACCTACAGTGTGTTAATTTGCTGGAGAACATGGGAAAATCAAAACAATTTTCATACAACATGAGACCAACCACTGCAGCAAAATCAAAAAATACAAGACTCAAGCACTAAGCAAAACCAAATGTTTGGAATTTAAAATCCATTCCAGTACAATTGTTATCTTTCATAATGTATAAGCCATCTACGACATATGAAACTTGAACACATTTTCAGTTTTGTATTATCTCAGTATTACATGCCAAGCAGACTTCTAAGGAGTTGGAGTAATTTTGTGTACAAATTAGTTTTTAAATGCAACTGTTAATTTCTTTACCAACACAGGATGAAATCTGAATTGCATTTGGAAACAGAAAATGAAGCACTAAGCCCAGCATTACAATAACCTTGCAGGGGCAACCAAAGCTTTCCATTGTAAAAAAAATAGGAATGTTAATTGTGTTCAAACACAGTTTGGAAAGAGAAGGAAAATGTACTAAAGCTCTAGCAGTTCTGAAAGACTGCTGTATTACTTCACCTCCAATTTATTACATTAATTTCAAAATCCAAACAGGAATGGAAGAACAGCCTTCATGCTCCACTTCTGTACTAAAGAAACAATTGTTTTTAGCTAACTATGGATTTGGAGGGAAAAGCAGATGTTGACATAAAACACTGAGTAAATAAATTGCTTTCACAACCTATGGAAACTATCAGAGGTGCATTTTCTACTCTTTAAGATTATCACCAATTTTTTTAATAACTATTTTTCTACATGCATGAAAAGAATTTCTACAGAAAGCAAAAAAAAAAAAAAAAGGATCCTGTTCTAGGAAAAAAAAATAGTTCTTTTAATAGTTTTGCAGCTGCCATAGTGTACAGTATTTACCTTGCACAAAGTATTTAAAAAATATGAACTCAGTAAAAATAAAAAATGTTACCCTAGTTTCAAAGTATATTGTTTTCTATTTTTTCTTCTACTTAGTATTACATAACTCTGAGTTTTTTTAATATGATGCTTCAAAATAACAGATGACCAGATTCAATATAACTCTGTTTCTCTGCAAGCACTTAAGCTTCAAGGAGACTGGATTTTCTTTAACACCCCTCACTGTGGTCACCACATCTATTAAAACACCTTCCAGTAACATCTACTTGCTTGAAAAGACAGGCAATAGAGGTATGCAGTTCTCTGTAAAATTTTTATTGTTTCACTTACAAAAAAATTGACAAGCTTTGTTCCAACATCTTCCATTCAAAACTAAATAGAAGTAAATGCTTTACAATAAATGCAGTTCGACCTCTTTAATATACCGCGTTCATAGGGCCAGGTGTCTGGGGATGAGAGGCAAGGTAGATGTTGAAACAGTAATGGAGGTCTGTTAGCCACTGCTCTTGAACTTCACCGCTCTTCAGTGTCTACGAAGAAGGAGAAAAAAAGGTAAAACTTGCAAAACTTTGCTTTGTTTTTACAGTTAATCAGGTGTGCTGTTAAAGGTACAAGAACAGCCTTGTTCCCCTGCACACAGTGACACTGTTCTCCTCATTTAAATATTTCAACGTGGTACGTCTCTTAAAGCCCAAATAATAAAGTGTTATGACTGGGTACACTAAGTCAGTGTTACATTATCAAGCGTGTGAATTACACCAGATGTGCTTTCCTTACTCTTAATTAGAGTGATTCACTTACTTCCCCATTCTGCAATTTATAGGCAATTAAAATGCAAATGAGCGTGGTTCTACTAATGCAGGAGAGCTCACTAACCCAGTCTACAGGAGAACTGCTACCGACAGATCAATGTAGCCCATGGCCCAGTAACTGACTCTTCTCAGCATTTGTAAGTGGTTAAAAATACCCAACAGCAAACCCAACCCACCCATGGTGGAACATCACAAGAACTGACTGTGGGATTTTCAACACTAAAGGAAACCAAACTTGCAAGTTGAAGAACTTGCATCATAATCTCTCACATGTGCTTCCACCACTACTGTTTTGTTTAAAGTATCTTCTTCAACATTTGCGATAATTTTAAAAAATAAACATTATGTATATGCAGTCTCTGGCAAGTTTCATACCATGATGTCCTTGATGATCTGTTGCACCAGAAACTCGTTTGTGATCATATGGCTCCTGAGCTGACCGTGTTGCATTAGTAAGCGAAGCAACTGAGCAACAACAGGCAGTTCTTCCCGACAGATCCTGCTCACTTGCAGGCTTTGCAGCATCAGCCTCAGTAATCGTGGCAGGAGTGCTAATGCAGATATACACGATCCCCACAGCATATCCCTGAGAGGAAAGCAGAATAAAAATTGAAATGACTGAGGATATATATTTCAAGGATGCTGCTGTGAACTGGCTGCATGGCTGTCTAAGGAAATGTGCTGCTGTGAATTCAATCATGCCAGCTGCCTTCACCCGTATTGGTAGCAAAGCAGAAAACTTGTACCAGAAAATGCTGGATTTTAAAATATTCCAAAATTATGTACAGCACTGGAAAAAAAACCCAAACAAAAACAAGGTCCAGCCCTGGAGCTACAAATGTTGCTGAAGTTCTTGCACAGTGTAATTTCTGCTTGACGCAGCTGGGAAGACGTTTTTGGTTCAGTCATTGTTCAGGTACACTTGAATCTTTGTTTAAGATTCATAAGAAATTAAAGTACTCAGATTTTTGTGATATGCAAGTCATTAAATACAGTACGTGAAGGAGGATTATGGCTCTAAGTGCATGTCTTTTCAGGAAGCTTGAAACAACTTTCCTATATATGGAAAAAACTGAAGTTTAACTTGTTTAAAGACATTTCCGCTTTTCAGGTAAACTTATTTGAATCTGTTATCTGTAGCTTTTGGGTTCTTTTTAAGTCAAATGGATTTGCAGTCTACGTAATGATGCCTGAGAAGTTTGTTGAAGCTGAAACATCAGGTCACTAAAGAGTACAGGCTTATAAAGCTAAATCTTTGCAGTGTTTTTAAATGTATCTAATGAAAATAAGGCTAAAGATTAAGGTATAAATGTCCACCTTTCTAAAGTCAGGATGGTTCTGACATCTAAGTAGAACAACAGAAGATGAAACCTTCTTCAGTTATCGTTTTAAGTAATTCCAGCTAACTTCGTAGCTGTCTTTCTTATATCCAAGTACTGTTTTGAAGTAAGCAAAAGATAGGAAAATAAACTCGGGGGGGGGAAGCAAGGGGTGGTATCCTTTCATTTTACATCTTTAAATACTTGTAGCTGCAAAGACAGAGGCAATTAACATGGTAAGAGCAGCTTTACCTTTTCTGTAGATGTTCTGCATCCTCTTTGTCTAAAGTTAGCAGAAAGTACAGAAGACTGTAACAACAAGAGGCCAAGAACTTATGCAGGTTTTCACTTATAATGCAGGCTTGATCCAAGAGCTTATTTATGGCACATAGAACAGATCCAGCTGTGCTATCAGGTATTACAACCAATCCAACCTGTATAAAACAAAACAAAAAAACCAACCCCAAGTTTATCACTTTATATACAAGTTTTTTTGCAGGGATACAAACATGCTTAGAGCTGAATGAACCTCTTTCCTACCATGACATGTATTACTTGGTTTCTCTTCAAGTTCTACATACCACTGCATTTTTTCAAATCCCTGTTTTCCCAAGAAATTGCCACCCATACCAACAGAAGGTCAAATTGACATCTTCATTCCATCCCCTTTAAAGAAGCACTCATCTCAAACATACTTAAAAAACACAGCATTGCTTTAAGCCTTGCTCTGAATGACAGTGCAGGCTCAAACAATCTTCTGGGCAGAACAGGTCTTTCCTTTTAAGCATATATCATGGGACAGGGCATCCCTTCCATGTCTTGAAATGGCAGTGAGCAGCCACTGAGGTAGAAGGAAACTCTGATTTACACTACAGAAAGCAAAGCTTCTACCAGATTGTCATCAGGGTGAGTATCCTTTGAAATCCAACAGGAGCATTAGGAACTGAGATAAATTAAAGCTAATGAAATATATGGTGAGCACATGGCTGGGGTGATGCTCTTCTGTTGTCAAAAAGAGAACATCATCTTGAGTAAGGATTTTATAGGCATGATAAATAATTTAGAAAAAATTCTTTTTTGGGTAGAGGCAGTGAATTAGAAAGCAGTTTAAATTTTGAAGTGCTATGGAATAAGTACCCTTAATTTTTGTCCCATAAAGCCATTAAAAAAAAAAAATTCATGCATTGCTAGTGTGGCACCATTTTCCATTAAAAAACTATTAAGGAATTTTAGAGTAGTCTGACTTGCTCACCTGCAAGTACACTGTTTTAAGCTGACAGAGGCAGTTGGTTTACTTAACAAGGTCACCTGTTTCTTTTAGAAATGTTTAAAAAAAAGATCAAAGTACAAGCTACAGAAATGTGACATGTATTTCATTCGTACAATTACTTGTGAGAGGTAAAAGATAAAAGAACAACTATGGGTTCAAACTTTTATATCGTTCCAGCCTAAGAGACTGGGTATATTTCAAGGCCATGAGTGCAGATCCCTGTCCCAAGCTGACCCTTCCCCAGCCAGGTGCAGAGGCAGGAGAACGATGGTGTTCCTGTGTGACACAAGTGGACCAGAGCTGAAGACCCTGCTGAACACTACAGGACACTGAGGCACTAAATAGTAAAAACTAATAATGATGTTCCTGGCCAAATAGGAAAAAATGACAGCAAGCTAGATCAATGTCTACATGTAAAGAAAGCATCCTGAAGATCAGATGAGCCAACACTGCTGATGAAATGTGTTAGGCAGCCAGTCTGGAAGATGATGTGGACACAGATGTTTTAATTTACACAAATCCAGTACATGAGGCTGCTCAAATAAGTTCCTATGGAGGATGTTGCCTACACGGTGCCTTTCCTCCCTGTTGGGTGTCAGCAGCCAGTTAAGAGATCTTGGGTAGCAGTCTTGTCAACTGTAAAAACCCACTTAACTGTTTGCTCTCAAAGGGTCAGAGCAGTAGAACACATAAGCCTATTTAAAAGTTAATTTAAGTCAACACCATTCCCAAAAATCCAGACTATGGTTATAGGTAAACCACTCCCTATGGAAGCTTTGGTCTAGTAACTTCTCAGAAGAGCTCCATACATGGGGAACTGCAGACACTTCTTAGGTTGTAGAACCACTGTGACAGGAGGGCAGAGGCAGACCCTGTGGTCCTCCCTCTCATCAGGCAGCATCACAGATTACTGCAAATCTTGTCACCCAGCTCTGGCTTTGCCATCCTCATCCTCAGCTCAGGGAGTGTTCAGGATTAGAAAGAGAAGACAGACTGAAAAACTCACAGAATCACAGAGTGGGTCAGGTTGGGAGAGACCACAGTGGGTCATCTGGTCCAACCTCCCTGCTCAAGCAGCGTCATCCTAAAGCACATGGCACAGGACTGAGTCCAGATGGTTCTTGAGTATCTCCAGTGAGGGAGACTCCACAACCTCTCCGGGCAACCTGTTCCAGTGCACGATCACTCACACAGTAAAGAAGTTCTTCCTTATGTTCCAGTGGCACTCCCTATACATCAGTTTCTGCCCGTTGCCTCTTGTCTTGTTGCTTGGCACCACCGAGAAGAGCCTGGATTCATCCTCTTGATACCCTCCCTTTAGATACTTACATACACTGATGAGGTAAAAAATTAATCTAAAGCTGCTAGTCACTCTTTTGAAAAGCAAACCAAATGAAGAAGCATTTAATTTTGAAAACAAGCTGAAGTATTCAGAAATCTGAGCAAAACCATCCATATACGTTTGGATACCAACAGTTATTAGATATTTTTTAAAGTCTTCCTAATCTTGTTGAAAACTTTTAAAAATACTGAAATTATACATGAAATACATGGAATAGCGGATTACAGGGTTAATGAGACCGTTAGCAAATTTATCCCAAGGAAGTTTTAACCTAGAAGATAAACCGGTACTTACCAGATATTTACAGATGCCAGTCTGGAGAATGTCAAAACACTGACTTTGTGAAGGTATAGTGGACAGGCTGTGGCAGACCATCTGTTTTAATAAAACAAAATTATATTTAAGGACTCAAAATGCAACCACCAGTCATTCACTGTGCAGTTATACTTTGCTGACAGACCTAAATCCAAAGTACCTATGGGGACACATAGCAGCTTTGTCTCAAAGTAACTGATTCTTCACAGTGTGTAAGAGTAACACTGTCAACATAAACTGTTCATTATTTAAAGAGATGATGATCTGCACTATTATTTTCGGGAGAGGCTTTCTGCATTTTACCTGTGTGACAGAAGACAAAAAAATATTCTATCTGGCTACACAAAGCCTCCAAATGCCTTTCTTTGGAGGTGAAGAATTTCAGAAAACAACTTTCCAAATAACTTCATGAAGCATGAAACAGAAGAATCACAGTGAAACAGGACAGAAAAATAATATAACAAAGAAGAACGTAGCAAAGATCCATTTCCAACTTATTTTCCAGTACATTCCCAAAAATGTCATGTTCAGAAAAGGATACAAAATGTAATACAAGGGAAATCCTGTTTTATAAACTGCCAAAGACTTTCTGGTGCTTATATAATCAGGCAAACTATCATAAAAACTACTATAAAAACTACCTTTAAATGCATTATTGTCTCGTGGATTGGGTAAAAAAAATCAGAGCTCTAGCAGAATTGCTGTTAAGCTGTACTGCAATCCTTGGCAGATGGCTTTCGCTGTTCCTCTTTTTCTTCCCATCTATTCCAATAATTTGCAAACTAGTCGAGAGCTTGGGTGTCCTCTCTCTGTTCACATTCACTGCTCATCCCACCAGTGTCAACTGCAGCTCCCAGAGAGCCAAGGTGCACAGCACAAGTGCATTATTAGGCCATTAGCAATCGTGCTGTCTTCCTAAGGACAAGGAAGATGGAAGAGCCAATACATGAGGAATGGAATCTTCTGTTTGTGCTTATAGAAAATAGCACGATCAGATGTTTAAGGGACTTAAGGAATTTAAGTCCAAGAGTTTTACAAATATCTTGACTAAGCAAAATGCATTCCTCAAAGATACCTCACTGACTGAAGGACAATCCAAAGAACTTTCACAAAATGGTCTGACCCAAGGGGGTTAAATTCTGTGATACTGTCCTGGTTTTCAGGCTTAAGTTGAATCGGCAGGTCAAGACACTGAAGCAAGAGATAACGACAAAACAAAAAACATCACCCGTGCCATGTCAAAAATGATAGTACACAACATTTCCAGCTCAAGAAAAGTTAGGGAAAGAACAGCTAGCTCAAGTCCTGTGGTATGAAAACTCAACCCTAACCAATGTGGATGCCAGTGGTTGTTTAATCAGAAATGGCCAAGCAGCAGCATTTGTGGTGATATAAAAGTGCACTCAGCTTTCTTCAGAATTACATGCCAAACCCGCTTTTAGCCCTGTTTAAGCTGGCCAAATTCAGGAGACCCTTTACACATCTGCCTGGTG